AATTGTTACTCGCAGGCCAGACACAGAATTGTTACTCAGGGACACAGAACTTTACTGGAGGCCACAGAACTGTTACTTAGGGCCACAGAATTGTTACTCGCACAGACACAGAATTGTTACTCAGGGACACAGAACTGTTACTGAGGGCCACAGAACTGTTACTTAGGGCCACAGAATTGTTACTCGCACAGACACAGAATTGTTACACAGGGACACAGAATTGTTACTGAGGGCCACAGAACCGTTACTTAGGGCCACAGAATTGTTTACTCCAGAGGGACACAGAATAGTTACTGAGGGCCACAGAACTGTTACTTAGGGCCACAGAATTGTTACTCGCACAGACACAGAATTTCTTACTCAGGGACACAGAACTGTTACTTGGGCCACAGAACTGTTACTTAGGGCCACAGAATTGTTACCGCACCGACACAGAATTTGTTACTCAGGGACACAGAACTGTTACTGAGGGCCACAGAACTGCTACTTAGGCCACAGAATTGTTACTCGCACAGACACAGAATTGTTACTGCCAGGGACACAGAATTGTTAGAGGGCCACCAGAAACCGTTACTTAGGGACACATAATTTTTACTGAGGGCCACAGAACTGTTACTTAGGGCCACAGAAATTGTTACTGCTACAGACACAGAATTGTACTCAGGGACACAGAAACTGTTACTGAGGGCCATCAGAACCGTGTCTTAGGCCACAGACACTCCCATTGCTGGGGACACAGAATCGTTTTAATTAAAAGAGTATTTCAGACAACATGCAGACGGAGTGGCAGAGGAGGCAATTTTTAGGAGCGGCAGACGTGGCTTCAAAGCAGGAAAGGGGTCGAGGCAGCACTATTCTGCAGCCAGAGGGCTGAAAGTGCACAGTGCTATTCATCCCGGTGTCATCCCAGTACAGTGAGAGAAGAGCTAACAGAGGGCGGTCAGGAACCTCACACACTCGGGGAAACATCCATTACGCCCTAGCTTCAGCAGCCAGGCGAAGACGTATTGTGCGAGGAGAGAGTCATGCTCGGTAGCCGGTGTAGAGACAGGTCTGTCTCCTGACCCACACACAGCCGAGGGGTCTAGTAGTTTGAGGCGGAGACCCTAATTGATGATGAGGGAGGCTGATCGCACTTGGCAGCCTATGTCGCCATCAGGCAATTGCTTCCGCATCATCAGGAGAAGAGGGTGGCAGCTTGGCAGCGAGCAAAACATCGGTGGGTTGTCTCCAGGCCACACTCTGCCATGTGCCACTTTCAGGTCTCCTCACACACTGCTGGTGTGTTGAATTTTTTGACATAGGGTGCTGGCAGATTACGGGCCACCCATAGCTGCTGCCAGCCCCTAATCTGCCATGGGGCCCCTATATAAACCCCGCCTCCTCAGCTGCTGCCAGGTCCACGAGTTCTCAGTCATGCCATGGCAGCTCCCATTGCTGCACTCCATATCGCCACACTCTGCCATTTTTTCAGGTCTCCTCACACTGCTGGTGTGTGAATTTTTTGACATAGGGTGCTGGCAGATTACGGGCCTCCCATAGCTGCTGCCTGCAATGGCCCCTAATCTGCCATGGGCCCCTATATACCGCCTCCTCATGGCTGCCCAGGGTCCAGAGTCTCTCATGGGTCCCTGTACAGGCCTCCATTGCTGCTGTCTCCATCGCCACACTCTGCCATGTGCCACTTTCAGTCTCCTCCTACACACTGCTGGTGTGTTGAATTTTTGACATAGGGTGCTGGCAGATTACGGGCCTCCTATAGCTGCTGCCAGGCCCCTAATCTGCCATAGGCCCCTATATACCGCCTCCTCATGCTGCTGCCAGGTCCAGAGTCTCTCATGGGTCCCTGTACGGCCTCCCATTGCTGCTGTCTCCATCGCCACACTCTGCCATGTGCCACTTTCAGGTCTCCTCACACACTGCTGGTGTGTAGAATTTTTTGACATAGGGTGCTGGCAGATTACGGGCCTCCCATAGCTGCTGCCAGGCCCCTAATCTGCCATGGGCCCCTATAACCGCCTCCTCATGCTGCTGCCAGTCCAGAGTCTCTCATGGGTCCCTGTAACCACTGCTGTCTCCATCATCTGCCATGTGCCACTTTCAGGTCTCCTCACACACTGCTGGTGTGTAGAATTTTTTGACATAGGGTGCTGGCAGATTACGGGCCTCCCATAGCTGCTGCCAGGCCCCTAATCTGCCATGGGCCCCTATATACCGGCCTCCTCATGCTGCTGCCAGGTCCAGTCTCTCATGGGTCCCTGTACGGCCTCCCATTGCTGCTGTCTCCATCGCCACACTCTGCCATGTGCCACTTTCAGGTCTCCTCACACACTGCTGGTGTGTAGAATTTTTTGACATAGGGTGCTGGCAGATTACGGGCCTCCCATAGCTGCTGCCAGGCCCCTAATCTGCCATGGGCCCCTATATACCGCCTCCTCATGCTGCTGCCAAGTCCAGGGTCTCTCATGGGTCCCTGTACGGCCTCCCATTGCTGCTGTCTCCATCGCCACACTCTGCCATGTGCCACTTTCAGGTCTCCTCACACTGCTGGTGTGTAGAATTTTTTGACATAGGGTGCTGGCAGATTACGGGCCTCCTATAGCTGCTGCCAGGCCCCTAATCTGCCATGGGCCCCTATACCGCCTCCTCATGCTGCTGCCAGGTCCACAGTCTCTCATGCCATGTGCCACTTTCAGGTCTCCTCACACTGCTGGTGTGTTGAATTTTTTGACATAGGGTGCTGGCAGATTACGGGCCTCCCATAGCTGCTGCCAGGTCCCCTAATCTGCCATGGGCCCCTATATACCGCCTCCTCATGCTGCTGCCCAGGTCCAGAGTCTCTCATGGGTCCCTGTACGGCCTCCCATTGCTGCTGTCTCCATCGCCACACTCTGCCATGTGCCACTTTCAGGTCTCCTCACACACTGCTGGTGTGTTGAATTTTTTGACATAGGGTGCTGGCAGATTACGGGCCTCCCATAGCTGCTGCCAGGCCCCTAATCTGCCATGGGCCCCTATACCGCCTCCTCATGCTGCTGCCAGGTCCACAGTCTCTCATGCCATGTGCCACTTTCAGGTCTCCTCACACTGCTGGTGTGTTGAATTTTTTGACATAGGGTGCTGGCAGATTACGGCCCTCCTATAGCTGCTGCCAGGCCCCTAATCTGCCATGGGCCCCTATACCGCCCTCCTCATGCTGCTGCCAGGTCCAGAGGCGAACGTAGTCACCACACAGGGGAGGAACTTCTGAGTGTAATGAACAGAGAAATCGACAGATGGCTGTCTCCGTGCCACTCCCAGCTGCAAACAAAATCGGAACCATGTTGACCGACAACGGAAAGAACATGGTGTCTGCTCTGCGTCAAGGAAGGTTGTGCCATGCGCCATGCATGGCTCACGTGTTTAATCTGGTTGTCAAGCGGTTCCTAAAATCCAACATCCCACTGCAAGACATCCTTAAAATGTCACGTAAACTTTTTTAGCAAGTGCATGCATTTCAGCCATTCCTGACACCGCAAAGCACACCCTCCTTGAGCTGCAGCGGCAGAACGGAATTCCACATCATCGCCTGATCTGCGACGTTGCAACAAGGTGGAATTCAACCCTACACATGGTAGACCGCCTTTACGAGCAGCGAAAGGCCATCACCGATTTCCTGATGTTACAAGCGGATAAAGGTACTCCCCTGTGTAACTTCGATGTCAGCCATTGGCAGCTCATTGCTGCGTGACACCTGCCGCTTGCTCAGGCCCTTTGAGGAGGCCACGCTATTCGTGAGTCGGCAGGACTATGGGATGAACGACGTCATTCCTCTGTTGCACGTCCTGGAACAAATGCTGTTAACAATGGCTGGTCAGGGTGCGGTAGACGTGGCGCACACAGATCTCAACGCCACATGACCCCTGTGGGGGCAGGACAGGAAGAAGAGGAGGAGGTAGAGGAGGACATTTGTGCTCAGGAATTATTGAGTGAAATGGGTGGTTTTTTCACTCAGCGGACAGGAGTGGAGGAGCAGGAGCATCTGGTAGAGGAGGAGGAGGAGGAGACAGAGGACCCAGACGCACCGTGGCAGTATGCTGTGGAGATGGAGGCAGGGAGTCCCTCGCATTCCTTGGCACAAATGGCCCATAGCATGCTCGGTTGCTTGCGTAGCGACAGCCGAATAATAACCATCAGACAGAGGGATGACTTTTGGCTGTCCACCTTGTTGGACCCTCGCTAAACCGTTCAAAAATGGTGGCCTTTTTCACACCTGCTGAGAGGGAGGCCAAAATAACGTACTATAAAAACCACCTATGTAGTCAGTTGGTCTCTGCCTTTGTGCGCCAACGTCCATCCTCAGACACTGTGGGCCCTGTGCGCTCGCGTTCCGCTGCCATGGCAGCAGGGGAGGGGTGGGGTGGTAGGAGCAGTGGCAGCTCCACCAGCAGCGGCTGCCTCAGTCTGCAGTCGATGATGAGTAGCTTTCTTCACCAGCGCAGTGAGGAAACTACTAACCAGCCGCAGCAGCAGCAGCATCAGGTGGACCTGGAGCAGGACCTCAAACAACAGGCTTGGGCCTACTTGGACAGCACCCTGCCAACCGAGGTAGACAATCCCCTTGACTACTGGTCAACGAAACTTGACCTTTGGCCCCAACTAGCTGAATTTGCCCTTGAAAGGCTGTCATGCCCGGCCAGTAGCGTGGCATCGGAGCGCGTGTTTAGTGCGGCAGGAGGTATTGTAACTCCGCGGAGGACACGACTGTCCACCCAAAGTGTGGAGAGACTCACGTTTGTGAAAATGAATCAGGCGTGGATTAGTCTGGATTTCAAACCACCAGTTCCTGACACAACTGACTAAATCCGCCATGAATCATGCCTCAAACATGTGCCACTTTGAGGTCTCCTCACACACTGCTGGTGTGTAGAATTTTTTGACATAGGGTGCTGGCAGATTACGGGCCTCCCATAGCTGCTGCCAGGCCCCTAATCTGCCATAGGCCCCTATATACCGCCTCCTCATGCTGCTGCCAGGTCCAGAGTCTCTCATGGGTCCCTGTACGGCCTCCCATTGCTGCTGTCTCCATCGCCACACTCTGCCATGTGCCACTTTCAGGTCTCCTCACACACTGCTGGTGTGTAGAATTTTTTGACATAGGGTGCTGGCAGATTACGGGCCTCCTATAGCTGCTGCCAGGCCCCTAATCTGCCATAGGCCCCTATATACCGCCTCCTCATGCTGCTGCCAAGTCCAGAGTCTCTCATGGGTCCCTGTACGGCCTCCCATTGCTGCTGTCTCCATCGCCACACTCTGCCATGTGCCACTTTCAGGTCTCCTCACACTGCTGGTGTGTAGAATTTTTTGACATAGGGTGCTGGCAGATTACGGCCTCCTATAGCTGCTGCCAGGCCCCTAATCTGCCATGGGCCCCTATATAACCGCCTCCTCATGCTGCTGCCAGGTCCACAGTCCCATCTGCATGCCATGTGCCACTTTCAGGTCTCCTCACACTGCTGGTGTGTTGAATTTTTTGACATAGGGTGCTGGCAGATTACGGGCCTCCCTTAGCTGCTGCCAGGCCCCTAATCTGCCATGGGCCCCTATATACCGCCTCCTCATGCTGCTGCCAGGTCCAGAGTCTCTCATGGGTCCCTGTACGGCCTCCCATTGCTGCTGTCTCCATCGCCACACTCTGCCATGTGCCACTTTCAGGTCTCCTCACACTGCTGGTGTGTAGAATTTTTTGACATAGGGTGCTGGCAGATTACGGGCCTCCTATAGCTGCTGCCAGGCCCCTAATCTGCCATAGGCCCCTATATACCGCCTCCTCATGCTGCTGCCAAGTCCAGAGTCTCTCATGGGTCCCTGTACGGCCTCCCCATTGCTGCTGTCTCCATCGCCACACTCTGCCATGTGCCACTTTCAGGTCTCCTCACACTGCTGGTGTGTAGAATTTTTTGACATAGGGTGCTGGCAGATTACGGGCCTCCTATAGCTGCTGCCAGGCCCCTAATCTGCCATGGGCCCCTATATACCGCCTCCTCATGCTGCTGCTGCCAGGTCCACAGTCTCTCATGCCATGTGCCCACTTTCAGGTTTCAGGTCTCCTCACACACTGCTGGTGTGTAGAAATTTTTGACATAGGGTGCTGGCAGATTACGGGCCTCCCATAGCTGCTGCCAGGCCCCTAATCTGCCATGGGCCCCTATATACCGCCTCCTCATGCTGCTGCCAGGTCCAGAGTCTCTCATGGGTCCCTGTACGGCCTCCCATTGCTGCTGTCTCCATCGCCACACTCTGCCATGTGCCACTTTCAGGTCTCCTCACACTGCTGGTGGTGTAGAATTTTTTGACATAGGGTGCTGGCAGATTACGGGCCTCCTATAGCTGCTGCCAGGCCCCTAATCTGCCATAGGCCCCTATATACCGCCTCCTCATGCTGCTGCCAGGTCCAGAGTCGCTCATGGGTCCCTGTACGGCCTCCCATTGCTGCTGTCTCCATCGCCACACTCTGCCATGTGCCACTTTCAGGTCTCCTCACACACTGCTGGTGTGTAGAATTTTTTGACATAGGGTGCTGGCAGATTACGGGCCTCCCATTGCTGCTGCCAGGCCCCTAATCTGCCATGGGCCCCTATATACCGCCGCCTCCTCATGCTGCTGCCAAGTCCAGGGTCTCTCATGGGTCCCTGTACGGCCTCCCATTGCTGCTGTCTCCATCGCCACACTCTGCCATGTGCCACTTTCAGGTCTCCTCACACACTGCTGGTGTGCTGGTAGAATTTTTTTGACATAGGGTGCTGGCAGATTACGGGCCTCCCATAGCTGCTGCCCAGGCCCCTAATCTGCCATAGGCCCCTATATACCGCCTCCTCATGCTGCTGCTGCTCTCATGGTCCCTGTACGGTCCCACTGTGTCTCCATCGCCACACTCTGCCATGTGCCACTTTCAGGTCTCCTCACACACTGCTGGTGTGTTGAATTTTTTTGACATAGGGTGCTGGCAGATTATGGGCCTCCTATAGCTGCTGCCAGGCCCCTAATCTGCCATAGGCCCCTATATACCGCCTCCTCATGCTGCTGCCAGGTCCAGAGTCTCTCATGGGTCCCTGTACGGCCTCCCATTGCTGCTGTCTCCATCGCCACACTCTGCCATGTGCCACTTTCAGGTCTCCTCACACTGCTGGTGTGTTCCATTTTTTGTCATAGGGTGCTGGCAGATTACGGGCCTCCCCATTGCTGCTGCCAGGCACGTAATCTGCCATGGGCCCCCGTACCGACTCCTCATGCTGTGACGTTGCAACAAGGTGGAATTCAACCCTACATATGTTAGACCGCCTTTACGAACAGCGAAAGGCCATCACAGATTTCCTGATGTTAAAAGCGGATAAAGGTACTCCCTGTGTAACTTAGATGTCAGCCATTGGCAGCTCATGCGTGACACCTGCGCTTGCTCAGGCCCTTTGAGGAGGCCACGCTATTCGTGAGTCGGCAGGACTATGGGATGAACGACGTCATTCCTCTGTTGCACGTCCTGGAACAAATGCTGTTAACAATGGCTGGTCAGGGTGCGGTAGACGTGGCGCACAGATCTCAACGCCACATGACCCCTGTGGGGGCAGGACAGGAAGAAGAGGAGGAGGTAGAGGAGGACATTGGTGCTCAGGAATTATTGAGTGAAATGGGTGGTTTTTCCACTCAGCGGACAGGAGTGGAGGAGCAGGAGCATCTGGTAGAGGAGGAGGAGGAGGAGGAGACAGAGGACCCAGACGCACCGTGGCAGTATGCTGTGGAGATGGAGGCAGGGAGTCCCTCGCATTCCTTGGCACAAATGGCCCATAGCATGCTCGGTTGCTTGCGTAGCGACAGCCGAATAATAACCATCAGACAGAGGGATGACTTTTGGCTGTCCACCTTGTTGGACCCTCGCTACCGTTCAAAAATGGTGGCCTTTTTCACACCTGCTGAGAGGGAGGCCAAAATAACGTACTATAAAAACCACCTATGTAGTCAGCTGGTCTCTGCCTGTCTGCGCCAACGTCCATCCTCAGACACTGTGGGCCCTGTGCGCTCGCGTTCCGCTGCCATGGCAGCAGGGGAGGGGGTGGGGTGGTAGGAGCAGTGGCAGCTCCACCAGCAGCGGCTGCCTCAGTCTGCAGTCGATGATGAGCAGCTTTCTTCACCAGCGCAGTGAGGAAACTACTAACCAGCCGCAGCAGCAGCAGCAGCAGCAGCAGCATCAGGTGGACCTGGAGCAGGACCTCAAACAACAGGCTTAGGCCTACTTGGACAGCACCCTGCCAACCGAGGTAGACAATCCCCTTGACTACTGGGCAACGAAACTTGACCTTTGGCCCTAACTAGCTGAATTTGCCCTTGAAAGGCTGTCATGCCCGGCCAGTAGCGTGGCATCGGAGCGCGTGTTTAGTGCGGCAGGAGGTATTGCAACTCCGCGGAGGACACGACTGTCCACCCAAAGTGTGGAGAGACTGACGTTTGTGAAAATGAATCAGGCGTGGATTAGTCTGGATTTCAAACCACCAGTTCCTGACACACAACTGACTAAATCCGCCATGAATCATGCCCCAAACATGTGCCACTTTCAGGTCTCCTCACACTGCTGGTGTGTTACATTTTTTTTGTCATAGGGTGCTGGCAGATTACGGGCCTCCCATAGCTGCTGCCAGGCCCCTAATCTGCCATGGGCCCCTATACCGCCTCCTCATGCTGCTGCCAAGTCCAGAGTCTCTCATGGGTCCCTGTATGGCCTCCCATTGCTGCTGTCTCCATCGCCACACTCTGCCATGTGCCACTTTCAGGTCTCCTCACACTGCTGGTGTATTCCATTTTTTTGTCATAGGGTGCTGGCAGATTACGGGCCTCCCATAGCTGCTGCCAGGCCCCTAATCTGCCATGGGCCCCTATACCGCCTCCTCATGCTGCTGCCAGGTCCAGAGTCTCTCATGGGTCCCTGTACGGCCTCCCATTGCTGCTGTCTCCATCGCCACACTCTGCCATGTGCCACTTTCAGGTCTCCTCACACTGCTGGTGGGTTCCATTTTTTGTCATAGGGTGCTGGCAGATTACGGGCCTCCCATAGCTGCTGCCAGGCCCCTAATCTGCCATGGGCCCCCGTACCGACTCCTCATGCTGCTGCCAGGCCCGTAATCTGTCATGGGCCCCTGTTGTCGCTTGTTGGCATATTCGCTCGTTCAGATGCTCCTTCTCCTGCTACTCCTCTTCACGGATTCCGTCAGCAGTCTTTCTTGGAATCCGTTTCCAAGAGACAACAGTTTGCGAGCACGCACCAGACGGTGCAGAAGCTGAACGTCCTCCTGTCCAAGTTGCTGCTGCCAGGCTCGTAATCTGTCATGCGCCCCTGTAACGCCTCCTCATGCTGCTGCCAGGTCCAGAGTGTGTCATGGGCCCCCGTACCGACTCCTCATGCTGCTGCCAGGCCCGTAATCTGTCATGGGCCCCTGTACCGCCTCCCCATGCTGCTGCCAGGTCCAGAGTGTGTCATGGGTCCCTGTACGGCCTCCCATTGCTGCTGCCAGGCCCGTAATCTGCCATGGGCCCCCGTACCGACTCCTCATGCTGCTGCCAGGCCCGTAATCTGCCATGGGCCCCTGTACCGCCTCCTCATGCTGCTGCCAGGTCCAGAGTGTGTCATGGGTCCCTGTACGGCCTCCCATTGCTGCTGTCTCTATCGCCACACTCTGCCATGTGCCACTTTCAGGTCTCCTCACACTGCTGGTGGTTTCCATTTTTGTCATAGGGTGCTGTATGGCCTCCCATTGCTGCTGCCTCCACCGCCACACTGTGGCTCTACACTCTGGTTTTGGCCCCGTGACTGCCCAAATGAGTGAAGTGTGCGGTGATTCTAAGATCGACGGCACTCATCTGCATGTCATACTGACTGACAGTATTATTTCTCTTCCCCAGCAGACTCCAAGGGCATTTAAATTAAAGGTACAGTGTTCAGCACTAATATTAAGTCTCTCTGAAGCCTAGAAACACCCTTTTTTAAGTTAAATTCACAGCGAATATATTCGACTCGAATCGAAATTTTTCCACGAATTCGCCGAATCAGTCGAATCGAATTTTTGAATACTTCGCTCATCTCTAATCATGATCAATAACTGCTTTTACAAAAATGTATATATAATAAAGCAAACTTACACTTTTGAGAAATTAAGTCTACTCTTTAAATATCTTTTGTAGATAAAAGTAAGTACTACTACTCAAGCTGTATAAACATAATTAATCTTAATTTTATTTTCACTGTTCTGCAGCCAGAATAAGGGTTAATGGCACCCCGTGGCTTTGGATCCAAATACGCCGTTGCAGTTGTTTGCAGCCACGTTTCTTTCACTAAGTGCTTTGGCAGTCTGCAGTCTCTACACGAGAGAGATGCTTGAGCATGGTTCTAAATTTTGATTAAACGCAGTGCCATTAATCAACAGAAAGACACTGAGCAGTTGGCAAGGTCCAGAGCTGCACAATGTTTAAGGCATAAAACATTACCAAGTAATTAGAAAGCGTTCCTATCGGAGGAGCAGTGACTTCAATAAAGAGGTAAATGATAGCATGTTTATTGTAGACGTAGGCAGACAGTGCAATATGATAAACTACAGGAGATGCACATATCAGTAATCATCTGCATTATTAGTGCCATTAATCATAATTCCCCAAATGTAAGGGCTGCCAACACATCCATTTGACCAAAGTTGCCCTTAGCCAGCCTCCTCTTGACCATTCTAATTTCCCTAGTAGACTATTGCAACCCTGCCTCACCATGAATCAAAGTTCACATATTGAGGCTGAGACCTGATGGCCAATTAAATTTGAGCAATTAGTTCTAAGTCTCTCTGGGAAATACTGAATGCTCAACTATTATCCAGTGGCTTTTGAACATCATTGAAAAACTAACATTTTTGGGGGTTACAAGTTGAAGTTACTTCTTTAAATATGGTAATTTGGGGTATGCTTAAAGTGTAACTCCAGCAATTTTTTTATTTCTTTTTTCTGTATGTGCCTTGGTGGGATAACAATTTTTTTGCTTGGCCAAGAAGTGAAATGAAAGCCTTTAGATTTTGCATTAGACAATAAGACAAACAACCAGCAATCGTATCCTTGAGTACAGTATAACTGAAGTAGCTAATCATACTGGCTTGATTTAAACAGGCACTGCCTATTTTTGCTAGATTCACCATGCCAGTTATCCACCATTCCATCACAAATACTTAACATGTGGAAGACATGGTGATTTAGAATGTAGGTAAGTCCAGGTTTAGAAAATGTTCTATGATGAAAAGATGTGCAGCAATGGTTATGTAGAGCCTAACCGAGCCTAATAGTGAGAAGTATGCTAAATTATTTGGAAACCATAGTATCTGAACACCAAAGCAGTGTGACTGAGAGCAGGGACAAGGGAAAGAATCAGGCCAAGTCATGACAAGCAGGGTTCCATGTCTTAACAGAAGTAAGCATAGGGTCCACTAGAGTGCATGGGTGAATAACTGTCATTCAGCAAAACCCATCACCTGAGGTTATAGGCTTAGCTAAGGGGTAACTCCTAGCATGAAGCTTCAGATATTCTCAACTGGTGATTACAACATGTGGATGTCAAGCAAGGAGATACATCCCACAGACAGCTTGTGGTCTAAAACAGAGATATACACTATATTGCCAAAAGTATTGGGACGCCTGCCTTTACACGCACATAAACTTTAATGGAATCCCAGTCTTAGTCCGTAGGGTTCAATATTGAGTTGGCCCACCCTTTGCAGCTACAACAACTTCAATTCAACTGGGAAGGCTGTCCACAAGGTTCAGGAGTGTGTCAATGGGTATGTTTGAGTTTGACCATTATTCCAGAAGTGCATTTGTGAGGTCAGGCACTGATGTTGGACTAGAAGGCCTGGCTTGCAGTCTCCACTCTAATTCATCTGTTGGGTTGAGGTCAGGACTTTTTGCAGGCCCGTCAAGTTCCTCTACCCCAAACGTGCTCACCCATATCTTTATGGACCTTGCTTTGTACACTGGTGTGCAGTCATGTTGGGACAGGAAGGGGCCATCCCCAAATTGTTCCTACAAAGTTGGGAGCATGAAATTGTCCAAAATGTCTTGGTATGCTGATGCGTTAAGAGTTTCCTTCACTGGCACTAAGGGGTCAGGTCCAACCCCTGAAAAACAACCACACACACCATAATACCCCCTCCAACAAAACTTTACACTTGGCACAATGCAGTCAGGCAAGTACCGTTCACCTGGCAACCACAAAACTTGGACACATCCATTGGATTGCAAGACGGAGAAGTATGATTTGTAACTTCAGAGAACACATCTCCATTGCTCTTGACTCCAGTGGTGGTATACTTTACACCACTGCATCTGATACTTTGCATTGCACTTGGTGATGTAATGCTTGGATGCAGCTGCTTGGCCAAGGAAACCCATTCCCCCCCCCCCCCCCCCCCCCCCTTTGTTACACTATTTCCCACCACCCTGGAACTTATTGCACCCCCAAACCCATTCACAGTACACGCTTGAGTTCACTGAGCTCCTGAGAGCGACCCATTCTAAATGTTTGTAGAACCCAGCCCACCCCTGCATTAGGTAACCCCCCACCAGTCTGCCATGTACAGGTGAGGAAGGACACACTTAATACATGACTGGGGTATCCCAATACATTTGGCACTGATAGTGTATATTGCCAAAAAACTGCCACCCATTCTTGGGGGTATCTGAAAGCTTTCAAGTAGGCATCATGCCTAGGTGCTTGGTTTAATACATCTGTGTTATGGAGGTGGATTTGGAACAGGTCAGAACTTAATTTGAATATTGTTACACTACAATGAGTTGACCGTGGAATATTTAGTACCAATGGACATATTGCACAGGTGGCAACCTATCAGTAAACACGCTTGAGTTCACTGAACCTGAAACGACCCATATCTTTCATAAATGAAACTGTAGAAGCAGTCTGCATGCCTAGGTGCTTGATTTAATACATCTGTGGCCATGGAGGTGATTGGACACCAATCCAATGATGTGGAGGGGTATCCCAATACATTTGGCAATATAGTGTATATTGCCAACCAAACTGCCATATCTGTGAATCTGAAAGCTAAGTAGGATTCATGGTATTGGTTCACACCACCAATGGTGTTACTAAATCACGGGTCAAACTTTAGCCATAATAGAAGCCGTGGTCAGGACCAAAGACAGAGGTAGCAAAAAGTCAGAAAACAGTTACTCAAGAGAAATGGAAACTTAGCAACTTAGAGATCAAGTCTTCAGGAACTGACTACAAACAGAATATTCTGGTAATTTCTTACAATCTTCTTTAACCGCTCTTGGGCCACCCGCCCACAAATGTACTGCAGACGGGCGGCAGCTACAGGACCAGCAACATAGCAGTATATCGCTGGTCTTTTGTCAATACAGGGGGGCGCTGCGCACCCGAGCAGGCATGCAATCCAATCCTACCCCCCCATGTCTTCTGTGTCCACTGGACACAGGAGAATGAGAATCTCATTAATCGGGACCCAGTGATCACGTGATCGCTATGTGATCACATGGTCACAATGACAGCAAAGCTTTTATGAATCAATATGATTCTACATCAGATAGCGTCAGGGTCAGTTAGTGCCCCTCCCAGCCAGGGTCAGCTAGCGTTAGATTACCCACACACTATCGCATTCACGTTATAGGTCGCTGATCATTGCCCTTATAGTGTTTGTACAGATCAATACATTGATCACGAACAGAACTATACTAGTGCCTCCTTGGTATTGTGTCCCCAAAAATGCAGTGGTAACAGGATCAGCCCCTTTCACTGCTAGCACTAGTGTTTAGCTCCTCAAAAGCAATTTATACGCACAACAATACATTGCAACCCACCCAAATTCAGCTCTTGCCAGACAATTGACATGGAAACCTATCACAGATTCTGAATGTAAAACTTTTTTGGGCCTAACCCTCAACATGGGCATTACAAAAAAGAATGAATTGTGGTCATATTGGTCCACAGACCCAATTCATCATATGCCCATGTTCTTTGTTGCTACATATATGCCCAAAATGGACCAGCAACGTACTGGTATGTCACTGGACTTTGAGTGGTTATACCGGGATGATGACTGCAGCTACAGACATCATCCTGGTATTGTTTTTTTCAGCTGGTGGTACAAGCAGCGACTCCCCCACCCCGCAAGCCACCTTCCAAGGTTTTCTTGGGCTCTCCCGTCCCACTGGGGAACCAATCAAATGCATTCAGCAGTTCCGCTGTCTGACAATAGAGCTGATCAGAGACTGGAATGCCTCCAATTATCTTTATGGTTTAAGAGACCGGAAGCTATGGGAATTTCATCATTTCCGTTTTACCCGATATAAACAGCGCAATTTTAAAATTGGGAAAGCATCTGATCACATTGATCTTGGTGTGATGAGATGCTTTAAGGGTAGAGGAGAGATCTAGCCTCAGATTTCTCTGAAAATAATAACTGTCACTGCCTATTGCTATCATGTGGGATATTTTCATTCCCTGTGATAACAATAAACGTGAGCGAAAAAAAAATGAAAGGTGCAGTGTAAAAATAATTAAAATATCATAATAAATAATAAAAAAAAATCACCCCACCCCCATTCCCATGCTCGTGCGCTAAGGCAAACACAAGCAGTGGTCCCATGGCAGTATGTAAACAGAAATTGCACCATGCATGTGAGGTACCACCACGAACATCAGACCTAGGACAGTAATTCTAGCACTAGACCTCATGTGTAAATCTAAACTGGTGACCTGTAAAGACTTTCAAAGCATCACCTATGGATATTACAAAATTACGTAATTTGTCACCATTGCACGGGCATGCGCAATTTAATGCATGTCATGTTTGGTATCCATTTTCTCAGCATAACATCATCTTTTATACTTTATCAAACAATTGGGCAATATATTGTGTTTTTGTGCATTAAAATTCTAAAAAGTG